TTAGGTAGTCGTAGAGGCTAGCAGCAACTCAGTCCATGGGTCAGGTGTCATTCTGGAGTCTTTTCCTGACTCATGCAGATGCAGGGACTGACAAACCCAGATCAGCAGGTCAGATGGCAGGCTGATGGCTCATGGGTTGTGGAGGTGGATGAATCCCCAGACTGGCAAGCAAGATGAAGACAAACCAGATGCAGGATTCAGAGCAAATGAGTGAGCTTTGTAAGAACATTCATATATATATTGGATGCAGGCCACATACCCAAGGGAACTCCCCTTACAATTGATTGGCTGATCACACCAGATCACATTGTTGGAGTTGTTTACATCATTACAGAACTGCCAAACCACAATGTTACATAACTACCAAACTACTGAGACTCCTGGCCCAGCCAAGTTCATGCATGAGGTTAACCATCATAGTTACCTACCAATCAAAAACACCTATTTGGACTTTATACGAGCAAGAAATACATTTTTGTCATGCTTAAGCCATTAAAATGTTTGAGTGTTTTTATAACAACAGCTAGCATCACAAATTAAAAAAAATCCAAACTCACTGCCATAGAGTCGGATCTGACTCATAGCAACCCCTCCATGGGTTTCCAAGGCATTATCACTACAGAAGTATGTTGCTCATCTTCCTCCCGAGGAGTGGCTGGTGGGTTGGAACCACCAGCCTTTGGTGACATAGTGCCTAAGGCATTTGACTGCTAATCAGAAGACTGGAAGTTCAAACCCATGAGCCGCTCCTCTGAAGGAAGGTTGGGCAATCAGCTTCCTTAGTGATACTGCCTCAGAAGCCTTAGGAGGGGTCGCTATGAGTCGTGTCTGACTCCACGGCAGTGAGTTTGGTTTAGTTTTTGGTTTAGCATTACACATACAACGGTCATGAAGATGACATCTCTAACAAGTTTCAGAGCCAGAACTTGAAGCAAGGTCTTTTGAATCTGAATTCTTCGCATTGTGCTGAACTTATCACTTATTAAAAAAGAAATGATCCACATTGATGATAAAGACCTTATTTTAACCTAAATTGTCTCAAATTCTAATCCCACCAACATACGAATTCATCTGTAACGTGGTTCTTCCATCTCTAAACAATCTCAGATACCTCCCTGTTGATGTCTTCAGAACCAGAGGGTCCACCCCTTTACCTGGCCTATAATTCCTGGCCAGGTATGAAGCACAAAAGGAGTCATCAAAGTGAGGGTTTATCTTGAGGAATCATTTCTGTGGGATGCTAATAGATGAAGTAGCCAAATAAAATATTCCACAGTCTAACATACTTGGGGAATTTTAGGATAAATGAAATGAAAAGGTTTTGTTTCTATAGGAATATCCTTTAAAAGGATAATATTCTCTGAAACTACAAAATAGAGATAAGTTTTGCAAACTTATTTGACCATGGAACCCCTTCCTAAAGAGCTTCTCAGGGGAACAGTATTCTATGGAACATGTTTCAGAAACTGAGTCATAGCCATAATTATTGGTACTTTAAGTTGGGTCTAGTACATCTCGGAATTTTGCCTCTTCTGTCTAAAGAGACTTTGCTTCTGGTTGTGGCCTTCTGCACATACTGCCTACTCCTGACATATGACAAATGATTATTCCTTGACCTTTTGTCTGATTCGGGCCACTAATCCCTTACAGTGTTGTTCTCTTTAAGACTTAACAACAGACTGTATTTTGTGATCTCAATCCTGCCAGCTTTGTTTATCTTGCTGCTGCCCTATCTTGACATAACACAAATGTTCATTAGTTCAATGTATATATTATAGTATTAATTCTTGATTCAATCAAAAGCCCCAAAGAAAAGTTGGGTGTAGTGTTAATATTATAAAGAAACATCTCTTACTGGCCTAATTCAATATCAATATCAATAAAATACAGTGAAGTTACTTTATATGGGCATTTATATAACCATGTGAAATTCCACTATATTACTTAGCACCCTGGTTCCCAGAGAGAGAGAAAAATAAATAAAAGACAGTTAGATTTCATGTTAGGGAATGTCATTTACTGTGGGCTTCACTAATTAAAAACCTGTATTATACAGGATTAATTTTCCATAATACTCACAAAGTAAAACAGGTATTTCTTTGCTAGCTGAAGTAGTAAAACATGGCTTCCAATTAATGTAGCCCACTGGCTTAAAAATTATGTGATTTTTAGTGGCCATCTGTGGTGCAACTATTTGTCTCTCCCCAAACAGAGCAAAGAAGAGTGAAGAAAATCAAAGATGAAAGAAAACAATTAGTCCAAAGGACTAATGGGTCACATGAATCCAAGTTTTCATGATCGTGAGACCAGTAGAACTAGATCATGCCTGGCTACCACTGCTGAATGCTCTAAAAGGAACCACAATATGAGGTTCTGGATAAAGTGGAAGGAAAATGTAGCACAAAACTCAAAATCATAAAAAAGGTCATGCTTACTGGTCTGATAGAAACTGGTGGAACCCTTGAGACACGCCCCCTCAAGCCTGGAACTGAAGTCACCCCTATGGCTCAATTTCCAGCCAAACAGCAGACAGACTTAAAAGGTGAACAATAACACCAGAGAGGTATGCACTCCTTGAAAGGATCAATCACAAGAGATCAAACTTCAGCTTTTGCCCAGAGACAAAGCTAAGAAGGCAAGAAGATAGGAAAGAAGAATGAAGGGAAATGGCAAACACAGATGAAGTTGGAAGGGTACTGTTACATTGTGGTGATTACAATGAATATCATAGACAAAATGTGTATGAATTTTTGAATGGAAAATCAATTTTCTCTGTTAACTTTCACCCAAATCGCAATTTTTAAAAGAAATATTTTTTTTAAAAAAAATTATATTTCTATTATTTAAAGTACTGCCAACAGTACGAAAGTTTATTAATAGTTTTATGTTATATGCTTGGAAATTTTCATAACTCTGATTTTATAAATTGTTACTGCATTGTAGTGTCAGTGGTCTCATCCACCATCCCAGCCAACTTGTATGCCTGGATTTTGTCTGTTAGGAGATACAACTCTGCTATTCTTTCCTTCCTATTTGCTTTTCATAGTAGAAAATATCACTCTGACCCGTTAATGCAAACCAACTATTTCATCTGGCCTCACCCAAGGAAACTGAAATCTGCTGAAAAATGACTGTACTGAACTTACTGAAAGTTTATATGTCACTCTTCAAAATATTATGTAGTTTTAAAGGATTGAGTATATATGATTCTTTTCTTGTGCCACCTTTAGAACTTCACCTCCTATATAAGACATGACTCCACTTGAAGATAATTAGCACTGTTAATTGCCAACCCAGCATTCTTTACCATCTTCTTTCTTCCTAATGCCTCTTTTATTCAGGTTGCAGTTCTAAGAGTACATCTTGATTCCTCTACGTTGTCAAGTTAGTTATGTTTCCCTTGTCAGTGATTGGTTTAGGACTAGACAAGTGACCCAATTTGGTTTAGGACTAGTCAGTCAAGTGACCTACTTACGGCCTAGGAGATAAAGAAGGAGGTCAGTTGAGAGGTTTCTGGACCAATATCCCTGACTCTTAGAATGGGATCATGGCAGTGGTAGTCCCTCTTCTTCCTAAGTGTGTTCTTAGATCTTGATGTGACCCATCTAGATCTTATGCCATTTTATCACTAGTCCTCTGAGAATGATGTCAATATCAAGAGTAGCAGAGAGCAGAAAAGGATAAACCTTAGATCCTTGAAGATACTGCTCACTTCCTCAATCAACCAACACTGGACTCTACTCAAACCCTTCCTCTTAGATAACATAACAAATGTCCTTATTGTTTAAACAAGTTTAGATTGCTTTTGGTGTTGCAGACAGATGAATAAATATACTCTCACAGATACCATATCTTCTGAAGCAATACCCAAAAGATAACGTCTACTTCGTAGCATGTATCATGAGAAGACCAAGGGCTATTTTTGTTCTCTCAGAACAGAGCAGTTGTAGAGTTAAAGGTAATGGTTATCCCATTGCTTTTATAGGGCATTTCATGAACTGCTGATTATACATATATGTGGTATCATGTTAACATAAACAATCCAACCCTTAGGGAGTTTTAAGTTATAAAAGAAACATTCTTCTAAGATCATGTGCTCTGATATAAATACCATACCTCAGCCCAGTGCTATCAGTATAAAATACTGGCAAGCCAAGGCAAGTTAGTTGGTGATTTTATCCAGCAAGATTTCTAAGTAATGGCTTGATGAAACCATCAGTGCTCCATAAAACACTGTAACAAATTGAAATAATGATTTCTTACACCAGTTTAGTCATTCTGGATCATTATAGCTTATTCCATGTAAAACAGTATCTCAGGGATTGCCACAATCATACAAAGAGAGAACATTTTCAGCTTTGTACCTGAAATAAATCAGTTATGTTTTTCTTACAATTCGAATCTAATTTTCATAACTACCTTCAACAACAACTACAACAAAAGGTGGATGTAAGCTTCATTGCCTTCTAGTAAAGCCCTTACAAAGCCTTTAACCTATCATTTTAGCTATATGGTATACAAAGAAATGTACTTATTCTTCCAGATGAAGTGTAAACAAATAACAAGACTATATCAAAGTCAAGAATTTTTCATAATGTAGTAAAGTTCATTTGTCTTATCTACCCTAGGAAAGTAGAGCAGCATTTATCATTAAAAAAAAAATAAAAAACTCCACCAAGAAGAAAATGATGAAAGACACATTTACATATAGATGGATCCATATTAAAGCGGAACTCGGGCCATTTTGAAATCTTAAACTTTCTGACACTATTTTCATGAACTCAGTAATACAAACCATGTGACAAATGATTTTCTGAAAAACTTTGCTGGTTTCACTGTGTATTTTATTATTGGCCAAATGTGACATTAAGGTTTATCCCTTGTGGCTTGGAGTTAAATGCTTACTCCTTTCAGAATGGCAACACTCAATTAAACAGCATTTTTCATGATCTGTACTCACCATTGTTACTGTATTTAAGGGAAATAATGGGGGTACTGACCTATATTGCGCTTCTTATTATCAATGGAGATGAAGCGTATGCAGGGATTACTGGTGATGTACTGCCCAGCCCAAGGGACATCAATCTTCAAGCCGGCTTCATAAAACAGGCCCAGAGCATAGCGAGAGGAGTAGCTCACAGATTCCAGTTGCTGCCTTTGGCCTTCACTAATTACTGTGAAAGGAAAAATAAAGGGCATCAAACTTGGAAATATCATCTTTCCTTTCAGTACATCAAACACAAAACTCCTGTAAACTAGTTCCAACTGTTTCCAACTCCATCTCACAATAAATTTTGAAAGGTAACATAAAATAGCATCAGCTTTAATTTCTGTTCAGAATGATTACTGACCTTGGCATAATTTTTTCTATCAAGAAGAAAGTCCAAACTCTCTAGATTACCATTTAAGCCTCTCAAAATCTAGCTTCAAGCTACATTTCTAGCTTTACATCCTAGTTAATGTCTTGAGACTGTCCAGCAACATGATAGATTTCACATACCGAGCACTTACTATGAATCAAAGTCTTTGCTAAATAATTGAACATATATTTTACTTTATCATAATCACAGCCTTATCAAACTGAACCAAACCCACTACCATCAAGTCAATTCTGAATCATGGTGACCCTACGGGACAGAGTAGAACTGCCCTATAGGGTTTCCAAGGCTGTAAATCTTGTGTGTGTGTGTGTGTGTGTGTGTGTGTGAAATTTGGGTGAAAGTTTACTGATCAGATTCATTTTCCATTCAACAGTTAATGTACATTTTGTTTCATGACATTGATTGCACTACCCATACTATATAGCTCTCTTCCTACTTCCTCCATGTAATTACCTTTTTCCTGTGTCCCTTTCTATGCATCCTGCCCTCTGAGCTATCTCCCTGTGCAAATACTGCCTTCTGATTTCCCATGGTTGATTGTTCTAAGGAGTGTAACTACCTGGTATAAATGTTTACCTTATATACCTGTCCAGTGTTTGGCTGGAAGCCATGGGATTGAGTTCAATTCCAGGCCTGAAGAGTGACTATGGGCCACAGCCTCAGAAGCTTCACAAGTCACTATCAGACTAGTAAGCCTGGTCTTTTTTTTTTTTTTTGTGATTTTGAGTTTTGTTCCACATTTTTCTTCTACTCTATCGAGGATCTCCAGCATTGGTCCCTTTCCTAGTAGTTGACAGTGGTAGATGGGCACCATCTAGTTCTTCTGGTTTCATGGTCATACGGCTGAGGTTTGTATGGTCTAATAGTCCCTTGTACAAATTGTTTCCATGTGTCTTTGTTTTTCATTCTTGTTTGCTTCAGAGGAGGAGAGACCCATTGTTGCATCTAGATGGCTGCTTGCAAACTTTTAAGAGCTTAGTTGCTACTCACCAAAGTAGGATGTAAAACAATGTCTTTGCATAGTATGCTATGCCAATTGAGCTTGATGTACCCTGTGACCATGTTCTTGAGCTCACAGGTCCATCAATTCACTCCCTCAGGTGGTTGGCTATGGCCAAGAAGTTATCGTAACTTTGCAAGATTATAAATCTTTAGGGAACCAGACTGCCTCATCTTTCTCTTGCAGAGTAGCAGTTCATTTCAAACTGCTGACCATTTACTTAATAGCTGAATGCCTTAACCACAGCACCACCAGAGATCCTTTAGCCTTATAAGGTAGAGAATTATTCCCATTGTACAGGTGAGGAAACTGATGCTCTGTCTTTTATCTTCTTGTTGTTGTTAGGTGCCATCGAGTCATCTCTGACTCATAGTGACCTTATGTACAACAGAAAAAAACACTGCCTTGTCCAGTACCAGGCTCATGATCCCTGCTATATCTGAGCCCATCGTTGCAGCCACTGTGTCAATCCATTTCATTGAGGGCCTTCCCCTTTTCCTTTGACCCTCCAATTTATCAAGCAATAATATCCTTCTCTAGAAAATGGTCCCTTCTGACAACATGACCAAAGTAGGTGAGACAAAGTCTGGCCATTCTTGCCTCCTAAGAACATTCTGGCTGCATGTCCTACAGGACAGAGTTGTTAGTTCCATTAGCTGTCTTTGCCAACACCACAACTCAAAAGTATCAACTCTTCCTTGGTCTTCCTTATTCATTGTCCAGATTTCACATGCACATGAGGTGATTGAATATACCATGGCTTGGGTTAGGTGTACCTTAGTCTTCAAGGAGACATCTTTGCTCTTCAGCACTTGAAAGAAGTCTTTTGCAGCAGATTTGGCTAGTGTAATACATCTTCTGATGTCTTGACTGCTGCTTCATTGGTGTTGATTGTAGAACCAAGTAATATGAAGTTTTTCACAACTTCAATCTTTTCTCCATTTATCATGATGCTGCTTATTGGTTCATTTGTGAAGACTTTTGTTTTCTTTATATTGAGGTGTAATCCATCCTGCAGACTGTAGTCTTCAATCTTCATCAGTAAGTACTTCAAGTCATCCTCATTTTCAGCAAGCAAAGTTCTGTCATCAGTGTATCGCAGGTTGTTAATGAGTCTTTCTCCAATCCTGATGCCATGTTCTTCTTCATATAGTCCAGCTTCTTGAATTATTTGCTCAGCATACAGATTAAATAAGTATGGTGAAAGGATATAACCCTGACACACTCCATTCCTATGGAATGGATTTTAACCTATGCAGTATCCCCTTGTTCTGTTTGAATGACAGCCTCCTGGCATATGCACAGGTTCCTCATGAGTACAATTAAGTGTTCCGGAATTTCCATTCTTGTCAATGTTATCCATAATTTGTTATGATCCACACAATCGAATGCTTTTCCATATTCAATAAAATACAAGTAAACATCTTTCTGATATTCTTTGCTTTGAGCCAAGATTCATCTGACATCAGCAATGACAGTCCTCATTCCATGCCCTCTTCTGAATCCAGATTGCATTTCTGGAAGTTCTCTGTCAATATACTGTTGTAACCATTTTTGAATTATCTTCAGCAAGATTTTACTTGCATGTGATATTAATGATATTGTTTGATAATTCACACATTCTGTGGGATCACCTTTCTTTGGAATGGGTACAAATATGTATCTCTTCCAGTCATGTGGCCAGGAGCTGTGCTCCAAATCTCCTGGCATAGCCAAGTGAGTGCCTCCAGCGGGGCATCTGTTTGTTGAAACATCTCAATGGGTATTCCGTCAATTCCTGAAGCCTTGTTTTTCGCTGATTCCTTTAGTGTAAGTTTGACTTCTTCCTTCAATACCATTGGTACTTGATCATATGCTATCTCCTGAAATGGATGAAGATCTACCAGTTCTTTTTGGTTCAGTGACTGTGTATTCCTTCCACCTTCTTTTGAAACTTCCTGCATCATTCAATATATTGTCCATGGAATCTTTCAGCATTGCAACTTGAGGCTTAAATTCTTTCCTCAGTTCTTTCAGCTTGAGAAATGCTGAGTGTGTTTTCCCTTTTGGTTTTCTAACTCCACCTCTTTGCACATTTCATTATAATAATTGACTTTGTCTTCTCCATCTGCTCTTTGAAATCTTCTGTTCAGCTCTTTTATCTTGTCATTTCTTCCATTTTCTTTAGCTACTCTCCATTCAAAGGAGCTCTGGTAGCTTAGTGCCTAAGGGACTTGACTGCTAACCCAGAAGGCTGGTGGTTCAAACCCACCAGCCACTCCTTGGAAGGAAGATGGGGCAATCTACTTCTGTAGTGATACTACCTCGGAAACCCAAGGAGAGGTCGCTATGAGTCAGGTCCAACTCGATGGCACATAACAACAACACAAACATTCTCCATTCAAGGGCAAGTTTCAGAGTCTCTTCTGACATCCAGTTTGGTCTTTTCTTCCTTTCCTGTCTTTTTAATGATCTTTTGCTTTCTTCATGGATGATGTTCTTGATGTCATCCCACAATTCCTCTGGTTTTTGGTCTTGGTGTTCAGTGCTTCAAATCTGTTGTTTAGTTGGTCTCTAAATTCAGGAGGGATATAATTAAGGTTCTATTTTGGCTCTCATGGACTTGTTTTAATTTTCTTCAGCTTCAACTTGAACTTGCATATGAGCAGTTGATGATCTGTTCCACAATCAGCTCCTGGCCTTGTTTTGGCTGAAGATACTGAGCTTCTTCAATGCCTCTTGCCACAGATGGGGCAATCTGATTTCTGTGTACTCTGTCTGGCAAAGTGTATTTGTATAGCCACTGTTTGTGTTGTTGAAAAAGGTATTTGCAATGAATAAGTAGTTGGTCTTGCAAAATTCTATCATGTGATCTCCAGAATTATTTCTATAACTAAGGCCATATTTTCCAACTACTGGTGATTTTTCTTTGTTTCCAACTTTTGCGTTCCAATCACCAATGATAATCAACACATCTTAATTGCATATTCTGTCAATTTCAGACTGCAGAAGTTGGTAAAAATCTTCAATTTCCTCATCTTTGGCTTTGGTGGTTGGTACATAAATTTGAATAATAGTAGTATTGATGCATCTTCCTTGTAGGCATATGGATATTCACTGACAGCATTGTACTTCAGGATAGGTCTTGAAACATTGTTTGTGATGATGAATGTCACGCAATTCCTTTTCAATTTGTCATTCCCAGCATAGTAGATCATATGACCATCTGATTAAAAATGTCCAAAAACAGTTCATTTCACTCACTGATGCCTAGGATTTTGATCTTTATGCATTCCTTTTCAGTTCTGACAACTTCCAATTTTCCTAGATTCATACTTTGTACATTTCATGTTCCAATTATTAATGGATGTTTGCAGCTGTTTCTTCTCTTCTTGAGATGTGCCAGATCAGCAAATGGAGGTCCTGAAAGCTTTATTCTTTCTATAACATTAAGGTCAGCTCTACTCTGAGGAGGTAGCTCTTCCCCAGCTGTATTTTGAGTGCCTTCCAACCTGAGGGGCTCATATTCTGGCACTATATCAGACAATGTTTCAGGGCTATTCATAAAGTTTTCCAGTAATATATCAGATAGCATTTCACTGGTATTCATAAGGTTTTCACTGGTCAATTCTTTGATAAGTGAATCGTCTCTTCCTTCTTCCAAGTCTTTCTTAGTCTGCAATCTCCACTAAAACCTGTCTACCATGTGTAAGTCTGCTGGCTTTTGAAACACTAGTGGCAAAGCCTTCAGCCTCACAGCATCATGCAAGCCACCACTGTATGACAAACTGACAGACAAGTTTGTCTCCCTTAG